GCAAAACATGAGAAATTTCTCAAAACTACTAAACTTCCTCCAATTCACAATTTTTCGCAATTGACAAGAAAAAAAATCGGTCAAATTGTTGGAACAATTCGTTTAGAATTCTTCAATTGGTGGTCTTCGGGTCTTCAAAACGTGGCAATGATCTTGTCTATATAGAACAGAAAATTGATGCTTCAAGTCGCGTTACTTAGTCGCTTTCTTAAAGATAATATTGTACCCACCAAAAGGTGTGTAGGGGGTTACAACAAATTTTCCTCTAGGATACAATGAAACCTGATCTAAAGATCAAGTCTACCAGCGTCTGCACTGACGATAGTAGATCAGAATACTCTTGATATAGTCAAGAAAACCAAGACATTGATAATCAAATATGCAGAACTTGATTACCAGTAAGAAAAGAAAAAATTTACTTACGAAACTCTTGATTGAAAACTCAAAATCAAAATCAAGAGAGAGAGAGAGAATTACAGGAATGAATACTGAATTTTTGGATGAGTTGAAATGGCTGATTTCGTAGTCTATTTATAGGCCTTAATGGATCTGATCGAATGGTCATGTCCCTTTATCGCATCCGATCAGATATGACCGTTAGATCGATGATCTATGGTGCAGATCATTCTCACACCGAATAGATACCTTGACTAATCACACCTGATCACAATTGGGTGCCATCTCATCCGCACGGTCACGCACATCTTCAATCAACGGCTATGATCAACCCACTCTAGATCGGACACACAACCGTTTGATCGGTTAGTTGACTCATCGCCAACAGACGACACGTCACTGCCACGTGGAGCTGACTGTATTCCATGTCACCCATGCCACGTCGGATCCACGTCGTCGCTCCAACCTATCCGATGCATTCATGCTAAGTGCAAAGTGCGCCATGAAACACCACACAGCCCACTACCCAAGCTACGCGCGTGCACGCGTGTATGGATGGTGCGAAGCACCATCCTTGCAGTGTGGGTGCATGCACACTAGCTTTTATCCCATAATTCCATATTCAAAAGAATATTCTATGTTACACTTTATTAGGTGCTCCTTGTTTTTCTCTCTTTCCAATGTGGGACAAAGTCCCCAAGCTTATTTCATGCTTTCCAAAGAAAACATGGAAGGTATTTAAAACACCCAAAAATTAAACTATAAATTTTGAAAACCATTTTGAAAATTCCCCAACATTCCCCCACCATTTTCAAAATGCCAAATGATGAATCTTGGTTCAGTTGGCAGCCTTATGCATTGGTGAAGATATCTTACAATTTGAATCATTCACTTAGTGAAGACATCTCATAGTTAGTCAAGATGGCATAGTAGATTTGTCTTTGAACTAGCGATCTTATACGACTAACCAGACATGTCTCACGCATAGTACAGGTTACCTCAAGTATTCAAACAAATCGACACGTGGATTGGCCTTGTGTCTATATCCTATTTCATGAGTGCTCTAGAGTCAAGCCCTTGGACTCGTAGGAAGCGGCACCACCTTCTACACTGACATAGGTAACCTTACCGAGAGTACCCCTGTAATTTACAATCCCTAACAACCCAGTTGTAAGCTTATTAACAGTTTGCTAACTCATCCTCTTCTTTTCACATTACAGGTACCAAACACTTCAACCTTGGGATGAAAATGATATAAAACTAAGTGCCTGCAACCACGACATATAGTGTACTTCAGCTCATTGAACTCAAGACTTGATATTTCTTCAAGCGTTGAGTCGAGTTTCCACCAGGAGTGATTATGTTAAGTGGGCTTGAGATCTATCCCCTTTGATGTTTTCCATACCAAATCCCTTGCAAGTCCCTTTGTTAAGGGGTCAGCCAAGTTTTCACTTGACTTTACATAACTAATGGTAATCACACATTTTGTGATTAATTGCCTGACACAGCTATGTCTCAGTCCTATATGCCTGGACTTTCCATTATAGACATGGCTATAGGCCCGTGATAGAGTTGCTTCACTATCACAATGCAAAGATATTGGTGGCATAGATTTTGGCCATATCTTAATCTCTAACAAGAGATTCTTTAACCATTCCGCCTTTTTGCTACAAGAAGCCAATGCTACAAACTCTGACACCATGGTTGAGTCTGTTATGCATGTTTTCTTCTTAGAACCCCAGGAGATAGCTCCTCCTCCAAGAGTAAAAATCCAACCACTCGTGGACAAGTGATCTTCACGGTCAGTTATCCAACTATCATCCGTGAATCCTTCCAGCACTGCTGGATAGCCATTATAGACTATTCCATAGTCTGTTATTTTCCTCAAGTACCTAAGTACTCGGTTAACAGCATGACAATGCACACTACTGAGATTTCTAGTGTATCTACTAAGTTTTCCTACTGCAAAAGCAATATTAGGTCTAGTGCAAGTCATAGCATACATCAGGCTACCAGTTACTCTTGAGTATTCTAATTGATCAACAGATCTTCCAGTATTGCGATTCAATTTCAAATTTGAATCAAATGGTGTAGACATGGGTGTACAATTATACTGATTAAATTTCTTAAGAATTTTCTCAATATAGTGCGACTGGGTTAGAATCAAATTATTGTCCTCTCGTTTGATCTTAATACCCAAAATTACATCAGCCAAGCCCACGTCTTTCATACTAAAGCTAGACGACAAGAAACTTTTAGTACTTTCAATGACATTATTGTCAGTACCAAAAATAAGATGTCATCTATATATAGACATATAATTACAACTCTATTTCCAGTAAACTTACTGTACGCACACTTATCATATTCATGTATCCTAAAAACGTTTGACACTATTACTTTGTCAAATTTCTCATGCCACTGTTTTGGAGCTTGTTTCAGTCCATATAGTTACTTCACGATTTTACACACTTTGTGCTCTTGACCATGTACAACAAATCCTTCCGATTGTTGCATATAGATTTCCTCATCTAACTCTCCATTTAGGAAAGCGGTTTTAACATCCATTTGATGGATTTCGAGTTTATAGATTGAGACTAAGGCAATCAACACTCGAATGGTGGCGATTCTAGCCACCGGAGGATATGTATCAAAATATTCAATACCCTCCTTTTGAGTAAAACCCTTAGATACTAATCTTGTTTTGAACTTGTCAATTGTGCCATCAACTTTCATTTTCCTTTTGAAAATCCATTTACAACCAATGGGTTTGGATCCAAGTGGCAAATCAGCAAGTATCCAAGTATTGTTACCCATGATAGAATCCATCTCATCATTTATTGCTTCTTTCCAAAAAGCAACGTCTTGAGACTTCATAGCTTCCTCAAAGGTTAATGGATTTGAATCCATACTCAAAGAAATCATTGTTTGCTTACAATAAGCTTTTCTAGTTCCTTCTACAAGGTAAACAATGAAATCAGGGCTAAATGACTTCTCAGTCCTAGCCCTCTTACTCTTCTTTAGCTCAATAGGCTCATTAGGCTCCATAGGTTCATGTCGTGCACTTTCCTCTGTAGACAAATAAGAAGTTGATTCACTTTCTTGATTAGAATCCAACCTTGGAATGGTTGTGAAACGATTCTTATAAAATGCCGCATCACGTGATTCAATGATGGTATTTGTTTCCATTGAATCATTGGGCTCTACTACCAGAAACCTATATGCTTTGCTATGTATAGCATAGCCAAGGAATATGCATTCAATTCCTTTTTCTCCTAATCTCTTCCTTTTAGGTTTAGGCAATCCGACTATTGCTCTACAGCCCCATGTTTTCAAGCAACCAAGATTAGGTTTCTTGTTTTTCCAAAGTTCAAAAGGAGTAACATTTCTTCCCTTGAGAGGAATTTTATTGAGTATGTGACAGGCAGTGAGCAAGGCTTCACCCCAAAAATCAGAACTTAAATTGGAATAAGAAAGCATAGCATTAATCATTTAAGTTATTGTCTTATTCTTTCTTTCAGCTATTCCATTTTGTTGTGGTGTGTAGGGTGCAGACTTCTCATGAATAATACCAACATTTTCACAATATTTTGAAAAATGGTATTCACCGCCTCTATTAGACCTAAGTCTCTTTATTTTGACATTACATTGATTTTCTACTTCTGTCTTAAAAATCTTGAATTTATCAAGTACCTCATCTTTTAAATGCAAAAAATAGATATGACAGTACTTAGAAAAATCATCAATAAATGTTACAAAATATTTCTTGCCACCTCTAGTAGGGGTACTATGCATGTCATAAACATCACTATGCACAAGTTTAAGCAAAGATGTGGTTTTATCTACTTTAGGAAATGGAATGTGCGTAATTTTAGATTGTACACAAAATTTGCATTTTTCAAGCATATCAATATCATACTTAGGAATTAAATCTAAATTAACCATATCATGCATTTTCCTAGTATTAACACGACCTAAACGAGCATGCCATAAAGAAAGAGAATCAACAATATAAGCATAAACAAATGTATTATTGATAACATTAAGTTTGAACATTTCTTGATACATGTAGCCCTTCCCAACAAAAATCCCACCCTTAGACAAGACAAATTTGTCCAACTCAAATACTAACTTGGAACCATGTTTATTAAGCAGGCTTCCAGATACAAGGTTTTTCCTGACATCAGGTACACGATAAACATCATTAAGACGTAGGACTTTTTCAGATGTAAACTCTAGATCCACCATCCCTTTGCCTTTGATAGCAGCAGTTGAAGAGTTGCCCATGTAGAGAACTGTTCCATCACTCACTTGTTCATAAGTAGTGAAATGCAGACGTGCCTTGTTGGTCCTGAGTCAATCCACCAGTCACCAGCATCATCGAGCATGTTCACCTCAGATACAATAGCCACGAACTTGTTCTTGGCATTTGATGCTTCTGGCTTCTTCCTGGATGACCGGCATTCATTTCTGAAGTGCCCTGGCTTGCCACAGTGCCAGCAAGCGCCTTTCGGCTTCTTAGCATTTTTCTCGGGTTGGGATTCATGCTTATGCTTCTTTTTGTTGAACCTCTTACCATCATTCACCATGTAGATCTTGGACGTCTAAGGCAATTGGTTATCTTTACTTTCAAGTAACCTTGACTCTTCCTCAACTCGGAGGTGTTGAGCCAATTCCTTTAAAGTAAGATTTTCCTTTTTGTGTTTCAGAGTTTTCTTAAAATCCTTCCAAGAAGATGACAGTTTCTCTATTACTGATGAAACTACAATAGATTCATCCATGTTCATATTCTTTTGTCGAAATTGACTCAGAATATGTTGGATTTCATGGAATTGATCCATAATGGGCTTTATATCAATCATTGCAAAACACATAAAATTACTAACAAGAAATTTGTTACTGGTGGCGTCCTTGGTGAGATACTTTGACTGTAATAAGTCCAAGAGTTGTTTTTCCATTTCTAGATGTTGATACACATCGAATAGAGAGTCTGACAGCGTATTCAGAATGTGTCCTCGGCAAATGTAGTTGTCATTCTCCCATTTGGTTCTGGCACGGGTTTGCTCCACAGTCTCATCTTCTTGCTTCGTTGGATATAGGGTAGTTAGCACATAGACCACTTTGAGAGTGGTGAGCAAAAAGTGCATCTTCTTTTGCCAGCGTCGGAAATTTCCTCCATCAAAATGGTCAAGCTTCATGAAATCTTGAGTCATTTTGTGAATAGACGTCGCCATATCAAAATATTGTCTTTAGATTGTTTGAACAATTCATCTAGAATTCTTTAATTGGTGGTCTTTGGGTCTTCAAAACTTGGCAATGATCTTGACTATATAGAACAAAAAATTGATGCTTCAGGTCGCGTTACTTAGTCACTTTCCTAAAGACAATATTTGTACCCATCAAAAGGTGTGCAAGGGGTTACAACAAATTTACCTCCAGGATACAATGAAGCCTGATCTAAAGATCAAGTCTACCGGCGTCTGCACTGACGATAGTAGATCAAAATACTCTTGATATAATCAAGAAAACCAAGACACTGATAATCAAATCTGCAGAACTTAATTACCTGTAAGAAAAGTAGAAATTTACTTAAGAAACTCTTAATTAAAAACTCAAAATCAAGAGGGAAAGATAGAGAGAATTTCAGGAAGAATTCTGAATTTTTGGATGATCTGAAATGGCTGATTTCGTAGCCTATTTATAGGCCTTGATGGATCTGATCGAATGGTCATGTCCCTTGATCTATCCAATCAGATCTGACCGTTGGATCGTCGATCTATGGTGCAGATCATTCTCACACAGAATAGATGCCTTGACTAATCACACCTGATCACGATCGGGTGCCATCTCATCCCCACGATCGTGCGCATCTCCAATCAATGGCTATGATCAACCCGCTCTAGATCAGGCACACAACCGTTTGATCGGTTGGTTTATTAATCGCCAACTGATGACATGTCACTGCCACGTGAAGCTGACTGTCTTCCACATCACCCATGCCACGTCGAATCCACGTCATCACTCCAACCTGTCCGATACAAATAAGAAAGCACCCTCATGGCGCCGATGCGTCTGTGCTAAGTGTAAATTGTGCCATCAAACGCCACACAGCCCACTGTCCAAGCCACATGTGCGTGCGCATGTACGGATGGTGCGAAGCACCATCCTTGCGGTGTGGGTGCATGCACAATAGCTTTCATCCCATAATTCCATATTCAAAAGAATATTCCATGTTGCACTTTATTAAGTGCTCCATGTTTTGCTCTCTTTCCAATGTGAGACAAAGTCCCCAAGCTTATTTCATGCTTTTCAAAGAAAACATGGATGGTTTTTAAAACGCACAAAATTAAACTATAAATTTTGAAAACCATTTTGAAAATTCCCCAACACAAATACCACTCGATAAGTCTCCAGTATGTCATCCAATGCTTTGCTGACTTCATCCTACGAGTAAAGACTGTTAGATTCGAGCTTGTTCAGCTTATCAAGAATCTGTGGCGGCATGTGTATGGGCTTTTCTTGGTGGTGCTCATGTCGGCACTTGTATTGTGTTAGTGATGAAAACAACTAGATGGCGATAGATGATATGCATTGACTACCTCAATTTGTTTAGGACATGATGGCGAAGGTATTAAATATGCTAGTTTACCTGAAAACACAGCTTTCGCGATATTCACATCATGGCAACATAATGTGCTAGTTGTACAGCAGACTACAAGCATCAGCAACTACCTTAATTCATTTTAGGACAAGATGGAAAAGTTATTCGATGTGCTAGTTCATTATAACGATATAAATCTCACAAACCTTGCAAGATTCCAATTACCGTAGGCAGCTAGCAAAGTTGTTAGTGACTAAGGGTTGTTTGGTGCACATTATCTAAACTACTTATATTTTTTTATGCAACTTCTGCTTATTGCTTATAAGGTAGAAATAACTTAAATAAGCTGAAAAAAGTTAATTATCTGAAAACTGGAAGAAGGGTGCTTTTGGCTTTCTTCTTTCTAATTATTAATTATTAACTTTTAACTTACAACAAGTTGCACCAAACAGGCCCTAAGGATTTTAGTACGTAAGGGACTGCCTTTTGTTAACTTGGAATGAAGGGACCAAAATAAGGTAATAAACATTTGATTTGCATTAACACGATATAACAATGAGTATTTTTGTCATTTGGTTACACTTGGGACGTCACACGCTGAAAACTTGAGGTGAAACATAGGCCTCGTTTGGAAACTTGACTATTTTAATTGACTTTTTAACTATTTTCTGAGATAAAAAAAAAAATTGAGTTTGGGAAGATTTGTAGATTTTTTTGTAGTTGAATAGATGGTTGTGAGAGAAAAAGTGATTGATTGATTTGTAGGATGCAACATTTAGTCATATTGGCTATTTTAACTTCTTTTTTTCCTTATTGGCTATATTAGCCAAAAAAGTTGTTCCCAAACAGGGCCTTAATGTTATATAAGTACATTATATAAGAACTTTGTTTAAAATCCCAAAAAACAAATTAAAAAATATCAATATTCACAGTTTCGTTTTTCTCCTTTAACCTCTCACAAGATGAGTTTGAATTACATTACTAGAAAAAAATAGCACCTATAAGATAAAGTGAGATACGGGCCATTCTGTGTACCACATTGCTTTGTCATATAAAATTTCAACATTGACGGCCAAAGGGTGGCAAGAGCAAGACAAGAAATCAATCAATCTACCACAAATTCCATTATTTTAATAGATATCCTTGCCCATTTTTTTCGTCTAACCTAGAAACAAATCTATGCCTTTATGTTGGGTGTCTTTTATTTCTCCTAGTTATCAAACGAAGATGTGTCTTGTTGTCTACATCTACTACTTCTAACTCAAGAACACATTGTCCAAAGGGGGCCCTCTTCCTTAGGAGTCATTTTTGTTATCAATGGAAATGTCTGCGCCGCAAGGTCTTGAGCCATATAATTGGATAACAAAAGGAAATGTCTTATCTTGCCATTCCTCATTCTCAAACTTCTACTTGTGAGGGCCTGAGCCATAGAATTGGATAACAAAACTTTTCTTAGACATTGTTTTTCTTCTTCCTAAGCCTATGTCGTGAGGTGAGACCAAAGAGAAAAAATGGGGAAGGCCTTCTTATTTTGAGGAGAGTACTAAGTAATAAAGAGCTTGCTAGTGAAGGTCTCAGAACAAGGAGAATAGAACAATCAACAAAAGAGAAGGGAAGAGGTCCATGATCAAAGATGCGAGAAGGTGAATCAGTAATCACTCATGCCACAACTAATGCTAATGAATCCTCCTACAATAACAAGGCAAGTTAAAAAGAAGAGATACCGATCAGTTAGAGTACTTTCCATGATAGAGCAAGTAAAGCACTACCTAAACTAAACGTTAGAGGTGTTTTTGCTCCCTTCACTTCAGTTACAAAGTTAAGGACAAGCACCCCTACCGACCAACTCCCAACTCATGGAAATGACTCCCCTTTAATCATCATCCAAAAGCTCAAACATGCCAACAACACCCCATTCATTTACGCAATATTTACTCGTTTACTTGTTAGCTACGACTATCCCACACCCTTGCTTTCAAGGAATCTAAGGAAAGAATGTAATAAGTGGTGAACAAAGTTCATTCGCTCCTTGGAGGAAATAAAAATTGCCTCTACCGCCAAGGGAGGAAGTGAATAGTTGGCTCGAAGAGGGAAGAGATGCGCATACTTGGTTTCCCAACAAATTAAGTGACTAGTTTACTGTTGAGAGGTAAAAAAAAAAAAAGGACAAATAGGCTAAAGAGGGCTTAATTGCTAGCTGGTGTTAAAGAGCTTGTTGGATGATGGCAGAGCGAGCAAACTAGACTAACTCCCACTTTTGTATTCCTGTTTACAGAAGGTAAATGGCTGACTTGTTTGTCTAGTCCCACCTCTTCATCGTAAGCTCTTGTCATCCATACACAAGCATCCTCTTCTCTCTAACAAATAAGTCAACTACCCTATCTCATTAGCAAAGCTAGAGTACATTAGTACACTGCTTTCATAGTTAGAAAATTGTAGTGATAAAAATAAAATAAACCTTTCTCCCGAAAGTCTAGGTTGCTACTCTTCAAGTTAAAGAAGAACTATAGCGATCCCGGGTTTACCCTTGTTGAACAGTGATCCGGACATGTGTCCTTGGATGTTAGTAATTGATTATTGTCTTGTTTACATCTGTTACTACTTTGAATATGGAGTTATAGGATGTGTTGGGCAGGTTTGTTACAGGTTGGTTGTGTTTGGGAGCCTAGTGCTGTTGCCCAGATTTTTGGACCTTCGCCCGAGCGAGGAGTTGGTCGCTCGAGCGAGAGTTGAGTTCGTGTCTGGTGGATCGAGCCAGAGTGGCTTCGCTCGAGCGAGCGATTGCGTCTGGTTCTGGACCTGAGAGTTGCATTTCTTGGCTCGAGTGAGATTTCTTCGCTCGAGCGGTCTGGTTTGTTCTTCGCTCGAGCGAGAAGTCTGTCGCTCGAGCGTGCTGGTGGCAGACCTGAGGGTTTGAGTTGTTAGCTCGAGCGAGCATTCTTTCTCTCGAGCGCACTTCTACCTTTTCGGCTCGAGCGAGAACTTCTTGGCTCGAGCGAGAGTTTTCTGTGTCTGGTCACTCGAGCGACCAAGTCTTCGCTCGAGCGAGCCTGTCAGGTTTAAATAGGCAGCAGCGTGTTTCAGATCAGTTTTTCATACACTTTCAGATTCCAAAACCCTAGTTACGAGTTCTCTCTCCCTCTACACACCTTCTCTCTTAGGATTGATCTACTTAGAGTGAGTTTCTACCTTAGATCCTTTATTAAAAAGATAGAGTGAGTCGAAGGCTTCCATTTAATCTGAAAAAGTTTGGATTTGGAGCACGTTGATCTTCGAGTCTTCATCTCCTTTTTGGCTCAAACTTCGAGTAGGGATAACCTACTCCATCTTATGAGCTTTGTCTTTGAATTTTAGCATTTTGATATGTTGGGGGTTGTTGGGTAATTTTGAGAAAGTTTGGGGCCTTTGTGTAATTTTACAAAAGTCGGGGTTTTAAATATATAAACCTATATGCATGTTAGGCATAGAGAAATGAGATTAATGTTGGTACATTGATGGAAATGGAACCTTAGGGTTGTTTTGTGAATTATGGTAATTTGCCCTAATTGGTTTAAATTAATTAATGCATATAATTAATTGAAGAAAACGAGGAATTGAATTGAGAATGTTGAA